TTATGACAGTCAGAGGCCGCTAATTTAATACTTTACTGTGTCCATACTTTAAATATTTTGCATCTGGTCATCCATGATCATTAAAAACATAAAAATCGACCACGACTGACCAAATGCAAGAAAAGAGGTAAACAAAGCTTTCCCCAAAACCCACAAAGAAGAAAAAATTCAACAAAATTAGATTTATTAAAAAAAGTAACCCTCTGGATAGGGGGTATAGAAATAGATAGCATGTTTATAAATATCTTTCGCTTGCTGGATTGCTATCCATATCAGTGTTGGTATGATAGTCTTCATTCAAGAATCAAGGTCTATTGGTTTGTTGTAGATGTAAATATATCTGTACTTTGCAATTTTGTAATTATATAAGCATATTGAGAAACGTGAACACAGGATGAGACTGTACTTTTATTCAAGGACCTGCGACTGTTGCACAGTTTCAGTTTCAATTGCATAAGTTGCAGCGAAATTTGTTTGTTAACGCACTTCAGATTTGTTCCTTGCTCGCCTGTTGTTTAAATTTCAAACAGCGTATCACGCATACGCCGTGTTGTGCAAAGACTGTTGCATTTTTGAGTGTGCAACAGGGAAAAGCCCTGACACACGCACACACACACACACACACACACAAACACACTGATATACTCACGTCTATGTTCGCCACCGCCTTAGTCAAATACAAGTCCTGTTGCAGGGCCCGCCTTTTCGAGTGTTAATTGTCGTATGCAAATTTTTGCGCATACACAAAATGTAACAAAACACGATTTTGAAAGATGCAAATTGGGTGGTGGTGGTGGAGGTGGTGCTGCTGTGGCTGCTGCTGCTGCTGCTGTTTCCACTGCTGTCCAACTGTGAAGGGCTGCATTGCTGCTACTCCCGTCTCCCGTCTCCTGTCGCCTGTCGCCTGTCGCCTGTCTGTCCGGGCGGAGAGTGTCAAAATAAGCTTTAAATTACGCCCCACTTCAGCAAGCCGCTGTACTCGTGAGGCGTAATTTGCAAGTGGCAAGAGTGAAAGTTATGGATGTGTTGTGGTGTGGTGAGTGGTTTGGTGGCGGGCACTCGTCTGCTGGTGGTCTGTTGTGGCACGGTCGATGCATACATGCAACCTATAATAAAATGTCACTTTGAACAAGTGTGGCAGGACGCATAGAAGATGTTGGATGGTCGGGGATGTAGGTGTAGGTGTTTGTGTGGGTGTGGGTGTGCATGTGCCTGCCAAGTCCTGCAACATGCGTGATTGTGACATTTGATTAGGTTGCCTTTGTCGAAATGTTAATTTGTCTATTGAAGCCGTAGCATCGTTGGGGGAGCCTTCGCAATTGCAGCAACCAGGCAGTCCGGCAGCCCAGCAGCCCAGCAGCCCATTTATCAAGGCTACTTTTTGCCTGGCGACTCCAAAGGACGCATTCACGTCCGCATCCAAATTGTGGCATATTGTTAGTGTGCGGACAAAAACAAAGAGCAACTTGTTCACAAATTTCTTGGTGGGACTGTTAATTTTGACATGAATGCTTTTAGATGCGGAGACTGCTGTCTGTCGTTCGTCCAAGCATTTAGATAATTATCGATTTCTGTGGCAGTTTGTCGGAAATTAAGTGCTGCAGGCTTTTGCTATTGATTGCCAAAATGGCTTATTAAGAGCAAAATTACAAAAGGAAACGGAGGAACAGAGCGTCAACAATAATGTCTATTATATAAAATGAAGTTAAATTATGATATTTTTTAGTCTATTTATTTAAAATGAAAATAAATGCCAAGTGAAAGGAATTATAGCCACCTGAAAGGCTGTTGCTCTAAGTCGACTCAACACACATACAAGTATAAGCTTATTATTTAAGTCGATTGTTGTAAGTAAATTCGTTACTGTTTTCTTCATCTCTTAAGCTGGCCCCAAATACCTTTTGTTGCCTAAATGCTGAGAGGACGAATGCAGACGGAAACTAAAAGTCGGTGCTGAGCATCAAATTGGGGGCAGAATTTACTTACGTAATCACTTATTACAGAATTGACAAAGACAAACGTATAATTGCCGTATAATAATCATAATCCACAAAGCAAACATACGCATTGAGACAGCCATCTGGAGCTGGCGGCAACATGGAAAGCGGCAGTCAGTCAATTTGGATAGTGGAAGGAATAGGCACACACACACCCACACAGACACACACACCCACACACAAGCACCGAGATATTTCGTTTTGTCGACTTATTCACTTTACCACTAATTAAGAAGACAAACTATAAGCTATGTAAATTTTTGAACTGAAGGATGCATACCAAATGAGAGTACATGGCTTGAAAAATGCAGGCGCTTTGTTTGGCTAAGTTAATACACTACAGTCGGGCTACAAATGCTAATAGAGACTATGCTAGAAATGGGAGAATTTGCAAATCTTTCTTGCTTTCAACTGAATGGGAAATGAATTCTTGATCATTCAGTTCATAGCAGTTAATAGCATTAACTGTATTCAAGCAAAGACTGAATGTCTTTGTGTCAGACTTCCCGTCTGCATTTGGGCTTAAAATAGTGGGGGAGCGACCACCTGGATATGGCTTAGACTCCAATTGTATTAAAATGCCAATGGCTGTAGAGAGATATTTAGCGTAGGAGAACAGTTAACAACAGTTAACACATGACACATGTTGTTCGTTATATAGATGGATAGTAATCACAATAAATGCCTGAATGCATCCAATCGTTATACACCTAATTCTGTTCTTACACGGTAGATTGGTTCCTAAAAAGTCGTGTTAAAAAAACCGTGTAAAAAAAAAGACAGTGATCATATGCAAAATTAATCGTGCTAAATGGAATAATGTCGTGTAACCATACATATATAAAATTTTTAATTCTCACACCGTGTTAAATCAAAACCGCACAGAAAAGACCGTGTAACTGAATTAGGTGTATATTGTTTTGATTAATTTTGTGCCACTCTCTATATTTACAATAGAGAGGCTGAAGCCACCATTACGATAGTTCTTGGTGTTCTGTTCCTATACAAATGTATAGAATTGTCGGAGATATTAATTCCTCTACGCTTTTAGGTCGCATACATTTTTCTGAACCTTCGTGGCTAACAAGGAAAGCATATAGCTTGCCGACCTGACTAATGAGCCTTCCCGATCGGGTCAGTGTTTCTCCGCCTTTTAGCTTTTAATTATATTTTATTATTTAAGTATTTTAATTTATTGTTTTAATCTAGTCATACTTATACTTTATTTTCTATAGCTCTCTTCGTCTCTGACTAATCTCTGCTGTAAATCGGGGAACAGCTGGCTGAACGAGAGATTTGTTGTTGAGGAAATAAAATAAAAAAATGGTTATTTATTTATTTATGTTGTCTTCCAGAAAACCGTTAAATGTTTGCGCAAAGCTTATTGTCCCCGCTCATTGACTTGCCATACCCTGTACCCCAAGGGTAAAAGGGTATAGTAGCTTTTTCTTGGCACGTATGCGAATGTGATCGACACTTGTCGGCTTAATGGCTGATAGGACCGAAGCGGCATTTAAAACATATTTTTGTTGCGCAAAGGCATCCCAACAGCCAAACAGCCAAACAGCCAAAGCTATAGCATTGCAAGGATTGTTGCAAGGCAACTCTCCCGGACACTCACACACAGGCACTCCTAGCACACACACACTCGTTCGCGTACTCGCATTTCCAGCTCAATTGCGCGCTCAATGAATAATTTAGTTGGAAATTTCGGCGCATTTTTTGCGTGTGAAAACGCGGCTAAAGCTACAGCTACAGCTACAGTTATTTTGAGTGCAGCGCCACCAGCTGCTTCACACTCAGCCCTCCACATTCGACTCATTCACTCATAAAATTTATGCGTTTTTCCTCACAGTTTTTCTCATTTTCGGCCGCATTGGTCTCGCTGGGCTCTGGCGTTGAATTCATTTTATTTTTGCCATAAAACGGCTCGCGCAACAGTTGAAAATTCTAAGCGCACCGTAAATGCTAGACAGCTAGCTTCCAGGACGCCCCGCACTGCGATCACATAAAATGGTCGGTGGGCGTCCTGTTGGCGGTGCCATGCTCGTATCAGGACCATAAATAAATTTTCAGTGTTTGACTTCAGCGAAATGGTGAGAAATAAAATAATAAAAGTACACGGCAGACCAAATCGAGCAAGTCTCGCCGCAATTTTATAGCTGGGAGTGTGCGGCTGCATTTCTTTTATGGCATTAAGTGCTCTTTGTGACTCAAAAACTGATGCAAAAAGTAGAAATAAAAATAAAAATACAAATGTTGTACGAGTATGTGATAAAACTACCAATTTTGCGGCAATTTTCAAATTTGTTTCGTTTCTGAACTGCAAACGCCGGAGCCGGGGAGTGTGTCCTTCTGTCTGCGTATGTTTGTGTTTCAATTACCACGAAGTGCTTTCTGGCCGCTCTGCCTTTTTAGTGCCCCACAAGCCATTCGATTTCCCATCAATGGCCCCACTTTTATACTCGCAGATTTCGACTTGTTGCAATTCAATTAACCGTATTCAATTCCTACAATAGATCTATTTAGAACTTGTTGTTATATGTACAATATTTATTTATTTAAATAATAAATAAATAAATGCTAACCTTTAACAAATCTATTAACAATATATTACAATGAATATTTCGATATCCGAATTAGAAATAAATCAAAGAAAGAAAGATCTCATACCCTGTGGAAAAAGTGGGTATAGTAGAATTTCCTAAGAGTTCTGTTTGTGATGAAAGGAAAAGCTTACTAGACTATACATTAACCAGTGCTTTCCTGCACTGTTCTGGTTTGCATCCGGGGCAGAGCGTTCTAGAGTATCGTCTGTATGAATATCTGTATATTCAGTAGCAGGGAAATCTTTACATTAATTAAACGCCATATTTAAGATATCCCTATGGAACCCACCATTTCCTTTCCATACCCAACCTAATTAAACAATTTTCTCCGTACATTCTTAAAAACTAGTTAATAGTTAATACAAAGCAATTTACATAATATTGCAAGATTTTGAGCATTATATCTTAGGTTGCCGTTGCAGTTGCTCGATTTTTCAGCTCCTTGAAGTAAAAAAATGCCACTAATAGAAAGTAGGTGAACAGCACTAAAGAGACATGTTGTTAAGTCACATAAATGGGCTTCATAAACTTTAGGCTAACTTACCTAAGTATACGATTAGTACTATAACTATAACAGTAGTATTTCTGGTTACCTTTTGACCATCTGGCCTATCCATCACATCAAATGCAAAGAGCAGCCAAGTGATTACAAGAATAATATAGAATAATATAGAATAATAAACAAGAATAAATATGAACACCTTCAAAGGTAAAGTTTGCTCCTGTGTGGAAAAAATGTGAACTAAACGAATTAACCTAAATGTGAAATGTTCTCTCATGTTACCTTTATAGCTCCATAAATCAGCGCGATTGCCGCAATACATCTCGTAAAATAGGTGAGGGCCAATAGAATGTCTGGTTCTGTAAGCATAGAACACAATGTTATTTCAGTCCTGAGCTTGAAGTCTTAAATGAAACCAACTCGATTGCATACACTGAAGTGTAAATATAGTTGATGAGATGATAAGGTAGGACCCGATCAAGAAGCATCCAATTCGCAGACTGCAGCAGCCACAGCACGACCGGATCATTTCAAAATCATTTCTATTTCACACAAACTTTTGAAAGCATTTTCAAAACTACAATAACGTTTCTCTTTCACGCCCTCTATTCGAATGGTACTAGTAGGACCTACATTGAACAAACTTACGAGATTCATAAGTCCTCTAATTTTTCATTTCCTAAAATGTGCATGTTGGGTGTCCAAAATAATAACACTAAGACTGAAGACTTCCTCAAGATGCATAATTCGTGCTGCAGATGAGATACAGAAGTAGTCCAGATGTTTCTGAATATCTGTTTTAATCACTTTGACAAGAATTTTAGATATTTATTTTGGACGGACACAGAAGAGTGTCGAGACCGATAAAAAGATATAACTTTATGAAATACAACACTTATTGAAATAACCTATAAATACAAGTTAGACAAGGGATACTCTTTTTGTTGGGATCAGTGAACGGCATACTTCTTCGGTGCATACGAAGATAATTACTTAGCTTGTTACTATTTCATTTGTCATCTTTGAAGTATTGTCAACTAAATCCAATACACATACGGCATGGCTTTCATCTCGATCTCGGAAACCATTTCGGAAAAAAAAAGTCTTACACAGCCAGAGCCATCTTGGTAGACCACACGTCATAGATACATAAACGATCAATACAAGTAAAGACGAGACTAATCGAGATTGAAGTTAGCCTCTTTTTGTAATTCATTTGCCTTAATAGATGTTGTAGTTGGCTTCTAAGAACATCTAAGCTAGCGCATGGGAGCACTATTTCAATTTGCCGTGTCCTGACAGATTGAAGCAACAGACGTCGCGTCGCAATCGCTCATAATTCAACTCTTTTACCGCAACTTTATGCCATCGCCTTCGCCTCGCCTCGCCACACCAGCACGCCCCTAGCCTAGCCCTTTACGCCCATCGATACATAAGTCGAAAACTCATTTATCAAAATGACCATAGCGCTGATGCTTGACCTAATGCCTGCGAATGGAAGAGGGAGGAACTGGCCACCACCACCATCAATAAGAAATGGAAGAGCGGCAAAAAAGTGTAAAAATTTCAGAGCACCACTTCTGGTAAAAGCGAAAACAAAAAGTGCAAAAAAAGGAAGCTAAGAAAAATGCTCGAGCCACGTAACTGCACTGCCGCCTGGCCACTCATAAATCATAAAATTCTATGCCCCAGCGCCAACACCAACCAACCATTCCCATCGTCATCTTTATAATCTGGCAAGCCTTTCCCCTGTCCATCATCGCACACAGTTGGGGTTGGTGCTGGGGCTGGGACTGGGGCTGGGGCTTGGGCTGCGGATGGGTCTCGGTCTGGGTCTGGGCCGGGGGTTACGTCCACTGGGCTATGATGTTGCAATTTGTAGCTGGTAAAGTGTGAAATTGCGTTGGCAATGTGAATTGTTTTTCAGTCAACTGTCTTGCGTTTTATTTGCTACCTACACTTTATGACTTGGTGGTGGGGCGAGTTGGGCGGCTGGTGGGGGCTGCTCCACTGTTCTGGTTATTTAAGCAGAATGCGTGCGATCTGCACTGACTGCCAAATGCGTTTGTTTAATCGAAGAACTGAGGGAACTCGAGAGCAAGACTGGATGCTATTAGATGCCTTAATTGAATGTACAAAGTGGATTGGGCTTACACTTTTGTTCAGCCTCCTCCAAACATGCGATTACGAGTATAGGCAACGCAAAGAGGGAGCAATGGAACTACGAGCCTTGGTATGCTAGGTATCTATTAGGAGGATGTTTTTTTTTTTTTCGTAAACTACATTTAAATTTTATTATCGCATATTATTCTTATGTCAGCCCCATGTTTGAAAGAGCACCTCTAAAGAAATTAAATTCGGAAATGTTTTCTGAATTTAAATTCCGCGTGCAAGTAAAAAGTCACAAATAAATCAATTAAAATGCATACTCTTCTCACTTAATATTTAAGGCAGAAGCCAACCTTCTGCTACACAGACACCGGTTAATTGATATAAACGACCGTCCCCCACTGTTTTTAACACTCGTACAAACTGACAGAGCTACCAAAAAAATAAAATATACATTTTTAAAATCCTGACTTAGCTCTCGCTGACTTTGTGTTTATTAAAATTTATGCCACGCTTGCCCAAAGTTGCTTTTACTTTTGCTTGTAGTTTACCTTTTTCCCCTTAAGGTGCGTTGCACGTGAAAATTATGAAAAACCGAAATCCTCTTCCAGTCATGCAGACTGCACTTCCTTCCACTAAAGAGTTAGACTAAACGGCAAAAGGGTAGCACATTACCGACACCGACTCCGGCACAGACATACGTACATACATATATATATATATATATATATAGACAAGAAGCTGAGCCCCGATATGGCAGCCTAATGCAATTCTAGACATTTATTTCACCTGGATGGAAGCCACACAGGTAGCCAGGCACTGTAGCAGCGAACGAGCTATGCCTCTAACTAAGAAAACCACTGACATGCAAGAGAATTTATAATCGCACGCACACCAACACTCCCACACACATATACACATACACATACACATGCATGCACTGCGGCGCTGTGCGTTTGCACAACCAGGATCTGGTTTCAATAAGGATCTGGAAAACTATGGTGTTTGGTATAATGGTAACAGGTAATTGGGACAGTCGGTTAGGCGAGTAGGGACTCCTATACCAAGTACCAGACCAGCAGTAATGTACTTGTATTCTCGCTATTGGTTGAGGGACAGGGATCAATCAAAACTTCCAAGCTCATATACAATATAATCACTAGTGATAGGTGGATATTTTAACAACGGAATTCGACTCAAAATTGAGAGGCATTTCTGTTTAAGAATTGAAATAGATTGATCCGAAATAATCAATTACTTCATTCAAGAGCGAACAAATAAAATAATATTTTTGAATACCTTTTAAATACTTTGCTGAATATAGATCAACAATGTTTATTTGGTTTTTCTAAACCAAAATACATATTTCTTGAAGCCAACAGAGATCACGTCGCTCCTCTCTGAACAAATCATATATGTTAAATGACTTTAAAATAGTCAGGGAGGTAAAGAATCTGAACTAGTAAGTAGTTACATGCCGCCAAGTACGCACATCTTTTTCTAGACATAGACAGCCGCATAATTGTTGTTTGCTGCATTCGTTGGTTCACTGCTAAAGCCAGCAGAGTCAGCTGTGGGGGCGTACAACGACAAGTGGGCGTGTCAATTTAGTGCCCTCCCGCACACCAACAGTGGCCATGGTGGCAGCTACGGTGGCAGCAAAGTGCGTGTCTCGATTTCTACATAATTAAACTACATCAGCCATGCCACTTGCGTGGAGTCGATTGCCTTTGCTGGTGCCGTTCCTGTTCCTGTTGCTGTTGCTGTTGCTATTACTGTTACTGTTGGTGTTGGATATTTCGGCATGGTTCGGTTCAGCTGTGTGCGTGACACTCTCCGCTAATACCACTTCCGATTTGCCGGTACCAGCTCAACTTTGCCACCAAACTTTTAATGCACGTGCAGCAACGATGCTGACTGCAACCAGTTATATTGCCACCCTATTAGCCAGCCGACAAAAATAGGGCTATGTGATTTGTGAATGGTAATCGTAACTGAATACTACATACTTATATTAAGCATGTATTAATACTTGTAAGTACTGGGAGTTTGGATTCAGTACCGCGCTGATCGGCACATTATTAATCTAACGTTTACAACAATTAATTGCGAGTTAAGACCTTGAACCAGTTTCAAGTATTGACAATATCAAGGCATATTCAGGCTACCTAGAAAAAAAACAAATTCGATCATTTTACGGACATACTTGTAGAAAGAGCTTAATTCCTTTAATCAATCTTTATCGAATTAAATTTCAACTTTATTACATGCGATTGTAAGGATTTGAAAATTAAAACTTAATTTGAGATACAAAAGTGCTGCGACAGATAAATAGTTGAGTAGAAAACTATTTTATTTTTGCTCGATATATATTTAAAACTTAATAATGCTGATTAGTTTACGAAACTTAAAAATGTATTCAATTATTCGTCAATTCTTAAACAACTTTGATTTATTACTCAAATATTAAACCAACCATGACTTCCAGCCTGCAACACCAACTAAATAGACCTCCAGAAACAATTAATCTTTAATATTCAGTTCAGCTTCAAACCAATTTGGAATTGGAACTCTATCACCCATGACATTATAGCATATGTTGTCTAAATTATTCTTGTATTACTTCTTTCGTTCATTCTTGTTTGATGGTTGTTTTGTAGTTACTTGTATATCGTCTGCCTCGTTTGCCTGAAAATTTGTAGAAATTATTTCGAGTAGTTCCGAATTTTGGAATAACGAGGCGCATTTGATGACCAAACAAATCGCATTTGCTCGCTTGCATGCCTAGGAGGTCCTTTGGGAGGAAGCCTTGTTAGTACGTATACATATGTACTAAACATATATGTTTGTAGGTATGCTTCTTAGATCCGTACGACTCTAGGCCAGCAACTTTTAACAGTAAGCAGCGCACTTAGCTTTGGCCAAGCGCTTCAGACAACAAAGTTTTGGTCGAGTTGTGTTTCTAAAACATGGGCAAGTGTTGTTGCACGTACATAATTAAATAGTTTAAGTCTGCCACATGGACAGGGGGTTGGCTGTTAAATAATCGGTCAAGGTAGGAAAAGCCACATTTCACTGCTTCATTTGATTGGCATATCCTTCCAGCGATCCATTTTACAAGCTTAGATCAGACGACACAATCAGGGAAATCAGAGAGAGAGCACTCTATTGGTAAAAGGAATTTATTTTCGTTTTTGCTTCAAATCCATATCAAATCACCCGGCCGGGTTCTTTAACGTTTCTCGAACCCAAAACAATACCTTTTATTTGATAAATTTTCATATTTTTAGTTGATTCCGATTTCTCTTCCTTTTTTAAGGTCTTTAATCGTTATTTCAGATATCTCATATATTAGACAATTATTAAATCTTTATGATACCCTTGAAACTTTCTCAATCATGCACCGAATGCCTACTCAGGAGCAAACTCTCCGATTGAGATATACT